TTGTTGGGAACAAACTACTAGTAAGTTCAGGGCCCAGAAGACCACATGGACTACAAGACCCACTGTACCATCTTGTTCTAAATTTACACATGAATCCACTCAAGCTCTGGGCTTGAGTTCAAGTGATCTCCATAGAGCTGTGTCTCAAGAGACCTAACTGAAAATCAAAGAAGTGATGCTTTCCTACATTGTCAGGTAACAGTCACTGCTGGCTACAAAGATATCTGTATACAAAACACCCTCAGTGCTGAGATTTTCAGGTTATATTTATGGTGAATTTAAAAATCTGAATTGAATGAGTGAACATGAAAAAAATCCTTAATATTTTTTCAATGTTTTGTCACAAAATGGATTAGTTAAGAGAGAAAAATCACTATCCACCAAGGGGGATGCCATCTTCTGATTATTTCAACAGCAAAACCTTTCAATGTAACATAGTACATTTGAATAAATATGTATTACAAGCTATAATGCATGTATTTAATGGCTAGGAGAAGCTAGGACTAGCAGAGTCACCAACAGTAATTACATTCACCCTAGTGAATGACTGGAGCACATTTTTAGAAACTTGGGTGTTTGAAGACCTTTTCTCGAATTACTATGAGCTCAATTTTCAACATTGGTCTCACAATTAACAATTTCAATTCACTTAAATAATCCTCCTGATGTAGTTCAAGAGAAAAACACTCACTTATAGTTTCTGATGGTTCACCCAGTACTCAGTCAACTAGTTCCTTTACACAAAGTTCTCAATAAATCTCCTGCCCCTTTTATTTTCTGCTTGTTCTCCAATTCCATGACTTAAAATGTTATACAGGTAGAAGCTGCTGTGAATGTGTGGATGACAAAATACATTTAACCTATTTTAATACGTTGGCTAGTTAGAATTGCTACCTTTTAAAATATTAAACAACTGCATATGATAAGTTAAACTTTTTTCTAAAAATATTTTGTTGTTTTGAGAGAGTTCCACTTATTCCAGGTTGGCCTTGGATTCCTGATCTTCCTGCTTCCACCTCCCAAGGGTTGAGATCTAAGAATATGCCCCTATACCCAGCTAAAGATTTAGTTATATTTGCCAGCAGTCTGAATGCAGTTAATTCTCTTTTGAACTCTGTCCTGGAGATAAAATAGTTATGAATAAACATGTTAGTAATGTAATCCATAATGTATTTATAGCCAGATATTCAATATGTTAATAATAGAAAAAACAATTGTAATATTAATATTTATTTTAAAATCTATTATACTAGTTTTCTCATATTGAGAAATAAAGTCCAACCAAAAGTAGAAAGCACAAGAACATTTCATTAATTCCAATTATATGAAGCTCAGGAGCTTCAAAACTTACCTATGACACAAATCAAAACAACATTTGCCTATACAAGCTGAGAGTGGTTAAAATACAAGAATTGATTTTCTTGGGTGACATTCCCAATGAATCTTGTTTGAAATGTGGCTTACATGACTGTATTCCAGCGATAGTTGTCAAAATTCACTGAGCTAAACACATGAAAATCCACTTTATGCAAATTTTTCTCAATTACAAATGAAGCACTTGCAGGACATACAAATTGGCAGCTTATTGTCTCCTTGGTCTCAGCTCTGACGCCATCATGGGAATTGGAGCCTCGTGATGTGGGGACTAGAGCTGCAAAGGCACATTTCTGTTTTGCCAAGTAACTCCAGGTTTGGCTCTGCTACAGCAAGAAGGGAGGAGAGAGAATAAGGCTAAAGGGAGATTATGCCTTGCCTTTTCCTATTTATCTCTTGTTAGCTATCATTCTGGGTGTAGCTCTTTGGGATGTGATTCCAGTCATATTTTTCCCCACCTGGAAGCAATTTTGACCCACAGCATCAGCTTAGTCTAAATTCATCATATAGATTTTATCAGTACTACAGACAAAAGGGCAGTTCACATCACAGGGTCCAGCATCTGAACACTGTGGAAGACTAAGATTCTTTTCTGAAACTGTGCACATGCACTCAGACCATGCATCTGCTCTTTCTCAAACTTCGCAGGCTGGTGGAAGATGGAGGACTTTTCTGGGATGCTGGAATGAAAAATCTTTGACATTAACCACTTCAGACAAAAAGACAATCAACACTTTTCACACCTGAAGCTTTCAGAAAGTTGGCTGACCTCTCATGAAGTTCACCTCTATTTCTCCACTCCTACTGGCAAATGACTGGCAGATTTCTCTTTAGGGAAATAGACCAGTTGAAGAGAAATGGACGTAGCTATGACAACTTGTGGTTGCAGCCCAAACAGATGGGCTTTTATTCAATTATTCTTCCATGAGACTCATTAATAAGTAAGCTTTTTAAAAATTCATGCTGGCCTTAAAATTTGCATTTTAGAATCATATTTTAACACAAATAGAGAAATAAGGATCATCACATAATTTTGGGAATGAATCCCAAGCAAGAAAGGGGGAGGAGGAGGAGGAGGAGGAGGAGGAGGAGAAGGAAAGAAACAGCATGATACAAACTGAAATTTTTACTAATAAAATAGATAAAATAAAAGAAATAGAAGAAAACTTACAAAGGAAGGTAAATGTATAATTACTATTCATATATGGCACAGAACAGCACTGAAGAAGATAAGGAAGGAGGGTGTGTGTGTGTATGTGTGTGTGTGCAAACACATATTACAAAAGGAAAAGTCAGAGACTCAGAGAATGAATTAGAGCTCTTGGAAAGTAAAAAAAATAACATCACGGACTGATGGCAAGATGGTTCCAAGCAGAGGTACTTGCTTCCAAGCCTAAAGGCCCAAGTTCAATTTCTTCAACTTGCATGGTGGAAGGACTCATACAAGTTGTCCTCTGATGTTTCACAGTGGTACTATGTCATATGTGCACCAAGCTAAATAAATAAATGCAATAAAATTCATCAAAAATAGGAATAGAAATGAAATTTTACAGGGCTGGAGAGATGACTCAGTGGTTAAGAGCACTTGGTGCTCTTTCAGAAGACCTGGGTTTCATTCCCAGCATCCATATGTGTTGTGGAATATTAGTTTAAAATGTATTATATTTGTTTATGCCATGGAATATTTGTTTAATGATGCAAAGATGTGTTACATTATATTATGTTGCATTTGTTTGACTCTGTAAAACTGTGTTACTTTGTCTGTCTAAAACACCTGATTGGTCTAATAAAGAGCTGAATGGCCAATAGCAAGGCAGTAGAGAGGGATAGGTGGTGATGGCAGGCAAAGAGAATAAATAGGAGGAGAAATCTAGGCTTGGTAGAAGAGCAAGGAGCAAGAAAAGGAGAAGGAGAGGAGGGCACCAGGGGCCAGCCATCCAGTCACACAGCCAGCCTCAGAGTAAGAACGAAAGTAAGATGTACAGAAGAAAGCTAAAAAGCCCAGTGGTAAAATATATTAAAGAGAGGATAATTTAAGTTAGAAAAGCTGGCTAAAACAAGCCAAGCCAAGGCTGGGCATTCATAGGTAAGAATAAGTCTCTGTGTATTTATTTGGAAGCTGGGTGGTGGACCCCCAAAGAGTTAAAAACAAACAAACAAGTAAACTATACATATGTTTGCTCACAACCACCAAAACTCCAGTTTCAAGAGAATCCATTACCCTTTTCTGGCCTCCTCCAGTACCTCATGCAATTGATACACAAATGATCCTGCAGGAAAAACACCTATAAACATAAAAAATAATAAATCCCTTTAAAGTTGAAAATTTCCTTAACATAAAGAAAAAGAAGGGGGAAATATACAGAAAAATATGAAAATTAAAGATTATAAATAGTATTCCCATCTTCAAAGGAAAGTTGTAAAGAGAAAATAGAAGTAAAAATAAAAACTCAAAAACAATAAGGTCTTCCTTATGTTGTCAAATATAGTTTATCTGTCTACCAGAATTGATCAGTTGTTAAATCATTCCTTCTGGTTTAAATGCATTTATTTTTGTACAGTAATAATTCCTGGTTTATTTTGCTTTAATTAATTTTTAAAAGAATAAATGTCAACTTATAGGTCATACTTAAATTCAACTAAACACTCAGCAATGAACAAAAATCTACACATAAAATAAAAATAACTTTGTATGTCAGTTTCATGTTTCCAAATTCATAACTCAAAATTAAGAACTCAAGTGCTTATATTAAGTTATACAATTAAAGATAAATTTATTTAGCTGTACAATCATTATGCTATCATTACTTACTTTGAATCTTCCACCTAATCAGGATTGTAATACAATAGGGGCTAAAATCGAAATTGCAGCCAGAGACCTCCTATGTGTCTGTACTGTATTTTATAAAGTTACTTTCAAAATGAGTGGATGCAGCTATGCCTACATGTACCAGGAAAGAATCTAAGAGTTCTCCAAATTTATTTCCTTGAAAAACACAATAATAGGCTAAGTTGAAAGTCACGTATGTTATTAAACTCGACAGACATCCAGTCAAGAAGTTAAAACTGGGGTTAAAGAAATGGCTCAAGGGTTAAGAGCACTTCCTGCATTTACAGAAAACCTGGGTTCATTTCTCATCATCCAAGTAGTAACTTCAGTTCCAAGGGATCCACCATCCTCTTCTGGCCTCCTTGGTTACTACACACTATGCTGCCCAAACATACATACAATCACACATACACATAAAATAAAAATAAATCTTAAAATATGATGATTATAAAAATTCAAATAGTAACGGCTTTAGAGAAAGACTCGCTGGCATACTGTAAAGGAGACAAAATATCTTTTAGTAAACTTCAACATTATATTAGACCTATGTTACACACACCCCCAACTCCCCCACACACACCTCATAGTTTCAGTTACCAATAGTGCTAACCCAAAATATCAAATGCTAAATTCTATAAAGAATCCATGCTTCCAATTGGGTACTAAGCTGAGAAGCATCACAAAATCCTTTGCTGTCCTGCTCCGTCGTGCCTGAGACATTAATCACTCATTAACTAAATGCATTCATGCTGTATCGGCTCCCTGTGCATCAGTTACTCGGTAGCCATTTCAGTTATTAGATAAACGGAGGGCACTATAATAGTGCTTATGTTCAAGTGACACTTCTCTGGTAGCCTAGCAATGGTTGCCATGCCTACATCATTCATCGCATTTCATCTTATCGCTTACGCAGTTGTGTCACACCACACCATCACAAGGGGGAAATACTACAATAAGGCACGGAGAAGAAGCCGGGTGTGGTGGCACCTCCTGTAATCCGAACCTTCCGGAGGCTGATACAGGGGGATTGTCAGTTCCAGGCCAGTGCTGGCTGCACAGAAAGCCCCAGGCCAGCCTGAGCTGCAGAGAGACTTTGTCTCAATAAGCCAGAGACTTCCGGCTTCCTCCCTCCCTCTAGCAAGATGGCGACGTCTGAGGAGGAGCTGCAGCAGCAGAGGCTCCCGGACCTGCTGGAAACCAGCAGACAACTTCTGGAGGAGGTGGAAGCCTCGACCCAACCCACGGGCTCCAAGCTAATCCAGGATAAGGTGAGGAGGGCCTTGAAACTCCTGGAGACGGCCTCAGACATGTTATTACAGCTCGAGCTGTTCAGCCGGAACGAAGATTGGGAGGAGATTGCTTCCGCTGACCTCAAGTACCTGATGCTCCCGGCCCTGAAGGGCGCGCTCACGCTGAAGCTGGTGGGCCCCAGCCATCGCCTCAACCACCTGCGGGAGGCTCGAGACCACTTCATGAACTTCCTAACCCAGAGCCACAGCTACCATGTGGCCGATTTTCAGCTGCCCTGGGCCCAGAGCAGCTCACCACCGGAAGGCAGCCCCGCCACTTCAGCCATCCTGGAGCCTAACCTCGTTGCCATGGCATCCCAGAGGCAGGCTAAAATTCAGAGGTACAAGCAAAATAAAGCGGTGGAGCAGAGAGTGTCCGCTCTGAAATCAGCAGTGGAGAGCGGTCAGGCTGATGACGAGTGTGTGCGGGAGTATTACCTCCTTCAGCTTCGCAGGTGGATTAACATCAGCTTGGATGAGATCGAGAGTATCGACCAGGAGATAGAGATCCTGAGGGAAAGAGACTTTTCGGGCGAGCCATCAGCTTCTCCCTTGCCTCCTCAGGAGAGGCCTCCAATGAAACCCTTCGTCCTCACTCGGAGCGTTGCCCAAACACAAGTCTTTGGAGCTGGGTACCCAAGTCTGGCGACTATGACGGTGAACGACTGGTATGAACAACACCAGAAATGTGAGGGTTTACCATCAGGTCAGGAAGTCGAAAAGCAAGCACCACCACCTGAGTCCCACAGAGCGTCTCAGCAGGAAGAAGAGCTGGAGCTGGAGCAAAAGGAAGAAGAGGAAGATGAGGATGCCCTTCACAGGATGCAGCAGTGGGATGAATGGAAGGACACCCATCCTAGGGGCTATGGCAACCGACAGAACATGGGCTAACCTCCCCTCAGTGTGAAAGGACAATGGATCGCTCGTCTTCCCACACCAGGATAACCGTGTTCCCTTCCTTAGGCCCCTGCTCCAGACATGTGCAACAAAGGCAAAGATACTGATCTTGCTTCGCATTCAATAAAGTACCACTATCAAGTTTTATTTGCACCCTAGTTAATGTCCGGTGCTCTCATTTGAGCGTTATTCTCACCATGGTGTATTGCAGTTTCTTAAGTGGATAGGAAGAGTGCTGAGAAATGGCTGTGCAATGACCGACTGTATGATTTATCTTTAAAAAATAAAATCCCCTCTTTTGGAAAAAAATATATATCCAGAGAGAACATTCACGTAAGTTTCATTGAAGTGTTTTTTAATTATTGTTAATATCTGGGTCTGACATAAAACACTATAGATACATGTATTTGGGGAGATATATAGTATATATAAGATTGGATCATACCTTAGTGTAGCTGTTTTAGAACAACAAACTGAGAAATCCACAGGAATGTATTACAAATGGCCTGATGAATATGGGGAGTCTCCAAACACTCAACTGGGTTTGTTTTGGTTCTAAACGGATGTAAGTTGTATGAACTTACAGAACAGCCACCTTCATTAGTTATGCACTATCTAGAATCTTCTCAACAAAAAGTTTATATGAAGATGGGTGCTTCATTATTTGCTGAGATTTGAAAGTGGCTTTATTTTTTAATCTTACATTATAGAAACAGCTTCCTTAAAGAAGAGTGGAAACTTAACATTTATCAAATATAAAAATGTGGATATTTGACCCAGCATTTTCACATTCATATTTGTAGAAAGCTGATTCGCACAAAGGTAGAACACAGCAAAGTGGTGATGAGTTCCTTGTAAAATCTAAAAGCTAGAAACTATGTTTTCATTTAAAGAGACCTGGGTGAATGATCTTTTTTGTAGTTATACAAAAGATTGTCAGTAAACTGTGAGAATAAAATGATTTGGATTTTGTACGAGGTAACTTAGGACTATTTACCAATATATATTAGTACGTAAGAAAAATGAGATGAGAAACTACATAAGAATAGAATCATCTTAATTGTGCAAAGGAAGATAACCATGAACAATATGGTATACTATATAGGCGTCTCCTGTTACTCCTTACTCTGAATCATCAATCATACACATGTTTATTGTGAGTTAAAATAGTCATGAAGTTTATTGATTATGGTTACTAATCACTTCTGGAAAATGATTAGCCACTGGGTCCTTGAGAAAGCAAAAACAAAACAAACAACAAACATGAAAACATGATTTGAAATGTCTGCCAATGTTTGTGGTGTAAAGATTCACAGCATGTTAATATCATCTTAACAAATTGTCACTGAACTCAGAGGCAGAAAAACATACTCATAATTCAGTTTTTCAAGCCAGGATGAGCCAGTGGCAGCACACTCCTAGGGCTAAGGAAACCTCTGGGGCTTGTGTTACTGAGGTGTGTGAACCTTTGCTCTCAAACCTCTTTTACATCTCTTCGAGTCTCTAATATTAAGAACACAGGAGCCATTGAGCAATGTAGAACTCCTGTGCCGTTTAATTTCCCTATGAAGTTTGGTGAGCAGAGCTGCTAAGTTTAGCTTTCACACTAAACAAAGATCAGGCAATTTACATGATTTTCCTTTGCCCCTGTTGGGCTCTTAGATGTGTTTGCATGTAGAGTAAAGAAAATATTAGGTATAACAAGAATGAGCTATCAAACTGATATTTCCTGACCTTTTGAAATGGAAAACACATCTTAAATTAACAACATGCATGGGATAAATGCAATGAGTTGTGCCCTTTGACTTTGAACTATTTGCTTTCTAGATGTGTGTGTGTGTGACCATCCACTTCCCGACAGAAGCTTTAATACTAGGACTCTGAAAATCCCCACAGTAAATGCTTGGCTAAATAACAAGGGAGGAGAAATGATCTTTCCCCCTAAGTGATTGCTGATCCAAGCAGCAGTTTCTTCATTTACTCAATGCGGTGTCATCTGCCTACCATCACATCTGGGCAAAGGTCATGCAGAGTGGTGTTTATTTATGTCTATGTTTATTCACAGCTGGAAGTAACCAGAAGGTGTAGTTGTAATGGGGAAAAAAAGAGAATTCAGAAAAAAAACATAAGGAAGATGAGTATGAATTTCTGTTAATGGGACATAAATCTTACCCATCATGATGAGTCCAAGAAAAGGCCAAAACAAGTGAACTTTTTGAAACTAGAATTTTTTCATGAAATTAATGTGTCCTAGAAAATATCATTCAAAAATAAAATTAGAGGAGAAAATAATTACAAATATAAGCAAAAGTATAGCATATGAACTTAAGACATATTAACCATATTGCAGGGCAACATTGAAACATTTACTGCATTTCTAAAAGACATTGGTGAATTTTTAAATGTAGGTATTCATTTTTTAATTATGAAACTAGATATGTGAATTTTGAGAAACATTTCCCTACACATTTAATAAAGTTATATCTACAATATCAATTTTTAAAATTCACATATCAGATGAAATTTTGATATAGTTAATATTAACCATCATAATTTCTGTATGTTTGCCAATTTCTATATTCTATACTTTAAAGGAAATAAACATTTCAATAACATTTAAATCAAACAACACATTATACCAATGCCAATAAGTACTAATTCCCTATCAAATATCAGAGGGACTGAAGAATCCTTTGTCTTTCTTCTTTTTTTTTATGAGACACTGTATACTTTGTGAAAAACACTGACACAGAAACATAAAAGGTCGATGTAGAATACATGTTGGAAAATATTCAAAAATAAGAGATAGCCCCTTAAAAGTACAACAATAAGTTTTCTCTGCACATTCAAGTTGAAACACAACTGAAATAAAGTTGTAGGATATTACACCTGTCCTGTGTAAGGACATGCTTTAGGTCCTTCTTATCACTGAAGAGGGCCAACATTCTCTGGTGTGATAACTCTGTAACTCATGTCACAACAATGCCCTGAATTATCAACTGTGTAATAGCAAATTTCTGTGCATAGACACCTAAACAACATGTCCTTTTAAAACTTAAAAGCACTGTCAGTTTTCCATTTAGACAAAGCTGTTCAGAACCAAGCCTGAGTGAAATGTCAGGTTTGATCTCTAAAACCAAAGAAGAGTGTGTGTTTCACAATCAAACTAAGTTTTGCCTTGCCATAGTCAGAAATATTCAACTTGCTTCCAACTCTCCCCAGCCAATATAATCCCAACCACATAACTGCTCATCTGAGGCTTCTATGTGAACTGCACTGGAAACGCCGTAAGATGCCTCATACATGTGCCCAAATAGTCAAAGTTCTTTAATCTCAATTAAATTTCAATGTGTATAAATTACAAGGAATTTATAGACATCATGATGTTATTAACTATAATATTTGGGAAAGATTATTCTATAATTATGTTTAAATTAATGGAACATGTATATCTGCAGACTCCAACCAAAATGGAAAATCATGACTAGAGTGTACATATTAATTACCGTGATTAAAATAATATCTGAAGACTTGAGCAGGCAGATAAAGCAGAAACTTGTTTAATAAACGCAATGTCACACTTAATCTAAGAATGCCCATAACGAAAAATTTTAGCCATTGCGTTGTTCACCTGTTCATTCTAAAGTGTAATTGTCAGTTTTGTGTCTGGATGCCAGAGAAAGCGGCTGCATCTTTGGGATATTTACAATTTGTGCAATTTATTGAGACAGATCCAATTCCTTTTTTATTTGTTTTCCCAAAGCACCTATTTTTTTACGTTTGCTGACCAGTGCAAAATCACCCTCACTAATGTTTATAAAATACCACATTATTGTTAGATATCGAATCCAAATGCAAGCACTGCAGTTCTAACAGATAGGAGCTTGATGGAATCTGTCTTTAGATTGCCGCTGTCCAGACTACCTAAGCATGGGTTCTGTAAAACTCATGGCATTAAAGAATGGAAAGGAAGACATACAGGTGTGTGTGTGTGTGTGTGTGTGTGTGTGTGTGTGTGTGTACAAGTGCACACAGGCACTCATATGCACCTTGGGAGAAAAGATAAATGGATAACACTAGGAAAGATACAGTAAGTATATCTATTTTGAAAGATTCTAAAACTTCCATACAAAAATATAGAAACATCTCTTTTCCCCCAATGGCTATTCATTCATATTAAGACAAATACAATAGACATTAATGTTTATACTCAGCAATGGATTAAATTATTATACCCAATTATGCACATGTGTGTGTGGAGAGGCCAAAGGACAACTTTAAGTGCTGTTCCTTATCCTCCCTACCTTTTTAAAATCAGGTCTTCTTGTTGGTTGTTTTTGCTCTTTTGGGAGATCTGCCACCCAGCTCCCAAATGTATCACACATGGAGGCTTATTCTTAATTATAAATGCCAGGCCTTAGCTTTTCTTGTTTCTTGACAGCTTTTCTTAACTTTAATTATCCCATCTACCTTTTGCCTCTGGGCTTTTTCCTTTTCTTACTTTGGTATATTTTACTTTCACTCTTACTCCATGGCTGGCTGGGTGGCTGTCTCCTTGCGTCCTCCTCTCCTTGTTCTCTTGCTTCTTTCTTCTTGCTCCTCCCAGATTTTTCCTATTTATTCTCTCTGCCTGCCAGCCCCACCTATCCTTTCTCCAGCCTCAGTATTAGAGCAGCAGGTGTTTTAGACAGGCACAGTAAGACAGCTTTACTGAATTAAACAAATGCAACATAAAAGAATGCAATAGATCTTTGATTAATTAAACAAATGTTCCACAGCACAAACAAATGTATTATATCTTAAAATAACATTCTATGGCAGGGTCTGTCATTGAACAGAAGATTACAGAATAGTCTAGGCTGGGTGGTTAGACTACTGCCGAGATCCACCTGTCTCTGCCACCCATCACTGGGATTACAAGTGTGCGCTATCCTGCCTGGCTTCTTTGTGTGGATTCTGGGTATTGATCTCAGGATGGTGCCATCTGAGCCATTTACCAAGCCAATACATTTTGTTAGTTTTTTTAATTTTTTAAGATATTTAAAAGTCACTTGTAGTTCAATTTTTTAATACTTTTGGATGATACTATTACAGTAAGAAATGTCAACTACAAAAAAATTAAAAATGCCATTATGTGGCTCCTAACTAAATGACATAGGTGTTATTTCTAGGTGATTAAGGACACCTGAAATAGTTTTTTGCTTTTTCTTCAGCCATTCTGAAATTCTTCCTTCCTCTCTCACACTGAGAACCAACTTCAGGACAGTGTGCTCTTGCTAGGCAGGAGTATTTCCATAGTTTCAGAGATTCTCTACCCAGACATATGGAAAAA